CTCCCGGTTGCAGAGTACGTGGCAGTTGATTTCAATTGAGGATAAGCGGCTGTTCAAGGATATGGAGTGCTTAATTCAGCCGGTGCGCAATTTCAATGATTTACGCGTCGAGATGGAGACGGCCAACCTGCAAGAAGGCTGTATTCCATTCATTGGTGAGTTGCAAGCTCGTTTGCTTGAATAGCGCGCTAGATCTTGTTCGCTAATTTTTCTTCTTCTTTCCAGGCCTATACGTCCACGACCTCACTTATAATGCTCAGAAACCCGCACAAGTGAACAACACTAACGGCGGTCTACTTGTCAACTTTGAGCGCTATCGCACTGCTGCAAGAATCGTTAAGAGCCTCCTCCGTCTCATCGACGCCAGTACAAAGTATAGGTTTCAACCCGTGCAGGGCATCATCGAACGGTGCTTGTGGATTGCTTGTCTCCCCGAAGACGAAATCCAATCCCGCAGCAAAGCCCTTGAATAATCTCTCATTTTTTTTTTTTCCTTACCTTTATCCTTTTGATTGCATTCCTATATCCATTTTTGTTCTACAATCTTGACCTCCGTGACTGGATAGTTTATACCCCCTTTCCAGAGGCTGCTTTGTCCCTCTGCCATTTTGTACCGATACTTATATCTGGTTAATGCCTCTTTCTTTGGAATTCCTTTTTTGTACATACCTCGGCTATCCCGGCGCATTTGACCTTGTCAGCGCTCAGACATTTCGGGAATGCCCGCTGTCATATTGGTTTAGGACTCGCTCTCCAAGGCCCCTTATTAATTTCATGTATATTTTGTTGTCTGGGTTTATTGTCTCATGATTACAGGCCTTATACGTTGGGATTTGGGTGCTTCTTTCTGCAATATAGCGTGGGCTTGGATATTATATGCCTCCTCTATGGAGAACGATATATTTGGAGCGATTCTGCAGATGAATCTCGTATTGGTCATTCGTTATCAAACCCTGGAAAGGTGCTCCTTCTTTTCACATTTGCCATATTTATTTATTATGTCTTTCCCTTGGCTGAAGCCCTTGGCTGAAGCTATCAACTTAAGGTATAACATCATAATATATTCTACATTCATATAATGTTATTATATAGAGGGATATCTGATTCGACAGGAGACATTTTTGCAGGTTAATATGGGTTCCTTACCTACGATCTAAATATTAGCTAGAAATGAAATTCTCAACCAAAACATAAAGCGAGAAAAACCTACCAGGTTAGTTGCCTTCATTGGCTTCATATCCTAATATTATACACCTCGACATTCAATATCACGAAGGCATGTATTACAAAGCTGCGTCATATCTCCCGAGGTATTCGGGGCCGCATCGCGGGAGCTGGTCCAGGAACGGAACACCAAATCCACCGCCCGCTCATCACCACGACCTCCCTCCAACAACCAATTTCTGCGCGTGGAGGGTACCCTCCTTACATAACATATCCCCAGAGAGGGCCACCCGATCTCGTCCCGAACTCAACCCTTTTGATGTCCCGCCACAACTCTATCGGACAGCCAGCCCGCCACGATGGTGGACATGACCGAATCGCGGCGCGGGGCCTCAGAGGACCCCATCGACTCCAATGACTACAGCGACCATAGCCCCGCCTCATTCCACGAAGCTAAACAGGAACTCCCAGATGATTTACCCAGATCACTGGATGATCGCCGCTCCGTTCCGGTCTTCCAACCGGAGACTGAGATGTACGATGCTTGGCAAGGTGAGTGCTCTTGTGTCCGCGGAACTATTTCCCCGTTTCCCCGACGCGGGCGACCAAACTATTTTTCCTTGAGCAGTTACATCTTGGAAACTTTACTGGCTATTTGGGAGTTCAAGCATTAAGGTCTAATCGTTCAACAGGGCAATCACAATACCTGACCGCGCCAGTCGCCGCAAAACCCTTATCCTTCAGCCTAGCGCTCGACGATCACTCGCACGACAATGAGCACGAACTGCGGGCTCAATATGGGCGCGATATTGAAGATAACGACGCCCGACTGATGGAGATGCTTGCTGCTCAAGCTGCCCATCGGGAAGTGGATTCGCTTACTGCAGATGAAGAGACAATTGCCGCCGACGAGAAATTGTCCGATGACGAGAAGCGCGATATACTCCAGAAAAGCTTGAACATGGCGGCCAGTAATGGCGATGTGGATCGCGTGCGGAAACTGGTACAGGGCGAGGCCAGGACTTACGTGGATGTCAATAAGCCCGACGAGGAGGGAACTGTACCGTTGATCTATGCTAGTTGTTTCGTGGGTTGCTCCTAGGTGCAAAATATCGATGCGAGGCTGACAAGTTCTAACAGGGTCATCAAGATGTTGTTGCTGCGCTCATTGCCGCCGGTGCCCTCGTCGACAGGCAGGATCGTAACCAGTGGAGCGCTTTGATGTGGGCTATGACTAACAGACACAAGACGATAGCGAAGATTCTCCTCGATAATGGAGCATCACCGGATATCAAGTCATCATCCGGTGGTAGGGCTTTTGATTTCGCTCAGCCCGGTAGTGAGATTTCTGAATATTTGCATGAGAATGGTTACAATTTTGGCTCTGGTAATATCGACGATGACTTCTATGACGCTGGCTTGGCGCATGGCCGTTTCGAAGAAGAACTAGCAGAGAGCGAGATGAAGCGACGAATGATGATGGAAGAGAGCGCAATCAATCTGGAGGTCGATCTGTCTAGTCTAGGGCTTGACGAGAAATTCGAGGTCAGTTTATGTCGTGAAAATAAGGTTTCTCCCTTGACTGATTTGAGTTCTTTTATTACATAGCCGTTTGATGAGGATGAGCTCGAGGAAGATCAGCAGGAATTTGTCTGGGATAAGTGCCTGAATGATCAAATGTTTGTCTTTCAGGACCATGAGCTAGAGCGCATTTTGGATATTATCATCACCAACATGACTCCCCAGCGGTCTCCATCCCAAAAGCCAGTGCCTGCAAATCTTCTCTTCCTCAGCGCCCGTTACGCGCATTATCATGCCAGCCCCGAGCTGCTCGCAACGCTACTATCGTCTGCAATGGAAAAGATCAATGACGTTGTAGAACGTTACCAGTGGGATATGACAATGCAAGCCTTTTGGTTGTCAAATGCCACGCTTCTACTTCATTACCTGAAGAAGGATGGGGGCTTAGCGGAATCTACCGTCGAGTTCCAGCTCCATCTGGCGGAGTTGATCAACGAGATATTCGTTCTTATCATTCGTGACGCCGAGCGTCGAATGAACAAAGTCCTGGATGCGGCAATGCTGGACCATGAGACCATCCCTGGACTGGAAGATGTTGCCTTCCAAAACGAGTGGAAGCTGTTCCGCAAAAATAAAAGCAAAAACCCCGAGCCTGACGAGAAGCGATTCCGGCCTCCATCGCCGCGGCGACGAGCACAAATCTCGCCTCGAAATATCACATCTTTACTATCATCGACCCTCTTTGTACTTGATCTCTACGATGTTCACTCGGTGATCACGACCCAGGTCCTCTCTCAACTTCTCTACTGGCTCAGTGCTGAGATATTTAACCGGATCATGAGCACGAAACGTTACTTGGCGCGCACGAAGGCGATGCAGATTCGCATGAACGTTTCGTCATTAGAGGATTGGGCGCGCACGAACAACCGCGTGCCAGAGCATTACGAAAATGGTTCTACAAACAGCACTGGAGAGTCCACAATTGACGCCGCTCGTCGACATTTAGCCCCGGTCATCCAACTCCTCCAATGGCTGCAATGCTTCTCATCGCTCGGCGATGACCACGAATCTCTCGTAACAACCCTGCTCCAACTCCAACAACTCACCCCCGCCCAGCTTTTGCACGCAGTCAAGTCATACCGCCCAGAAGTAGGCGAGAAAGGCCTGACCAAGCAAGCAATGAAGTTCCTTCTCGACATGCAAAATGACCCCGAAGTTCTGTATCGCGAGCAGCAGGAAATTCAAGAAGACAAGGCAAGGGTAGCAGCTGGGCTAGGGCCTCAAGCAGCAGCAGATGCCCGTCCAAATACACCACCAAAGAATCAGCCCTCCGCAGCACCCACATCTCCTGACACTAGACTATCCCCAGGCCCCGCTGCTGAATCATCGCGACCTACAAGCATGGTCGCCACTAGGAATGAGGAGCGCCCAGGCAGCGGCAATAGTGTCTTCGTCGACCCCACCCTTTTCCTTCCCTTCTCCCTTCCAACTAGTACAGATATGCTGGTCAGCTACGGCGCTGGCTTTGGTGGTACAAACCGCGAAAGAGCCCGCAAATACATTCCCACAGTCCCGCCTGAGGTCCTGAGTCGATTCGATCGTGGCGATGTATAAAATAAGACAGCCATAAGGACTGCTTTTTCTTCATTTCCCCCCAGCTTGGATTATTGATGGCACTGTTCAGGTGCCTAAAGTGCGGGCACGGTGGGATAAGGATGGCTAATAAAGCGATAGGATACCCTTTGAACCCTTTCTTTTGCTTGAGGATATTCTGGCTGTGGCTTCCGTGTAAGCATCTGCCGATGCGTCGAGTATATATTCTAAATGAATCTGTTCCATGCATACATAACATTGTGTGCGGTCACTGTGGCTTCTATATGCATACCAACATAGGCTATGGCTCTTTGCCTAGAGTAGAATAATATACGTGATATGAACTCCATTTGGACAGACTGCTGCTCGTAGTGAAGAGGAAGGAGAGGGGAGAAAGAAGGGGGGGGGGTTTCACTCGTAGGTGGGGGACATTGCTCCTTCCAGAAAGATGATAAGACCGGAAAACAGACACTTGGTCGGAAAGAACCAAGAGCAGGTACTCGTAAACATGAATAATTAGAGCTCGCTCACAGCCTGGAACCAAAGAAAAGACACCGAGTAGACACAAAATATATCAGAGAGGGTTACGTGCTAAATGCGCAAGAGTATGTTGTTTCCTATTTGGGATTCCATCCTCCCACCCAAGAAAGCCAAGAAACTCTTGTAACTTCCTGACAACTGTGGTTTTTCTGAATTCAGAGCGTTGCTGCCCAGCTGGCAACATGAAGCCCACCTCCGAGCCCCCGAAGCGTACGAACGGGAATAATGACCTCCACGAGGCTACCAAAACAAAGAGCCAGTGTCTCCCATCATATCTTATCCCTCGACCATCCATAGAGGACCAACCGACAAACCCCAATCACGCTATGAGCTCACGTCGATACCTGGTCTTACCACCGGAGATCAATCGCCTACCTCCACAGCCAATGACGACTTCCCTAAACCCACAGCCAGCTGGATGGGAGGACAGGAAGATGTGGCTGCACGCAAAAATCGAAGAAGAGCGGCGCAGACAGGAAGAAGAAAAAACACACCGGGCTAAAGTTGTACTCGAACAGCGGCGCATCGAACAGTCAATACTGTCAGATGCTCTGGATGCTGGTGTCCCACCCAACATGGTCCCACTAATCTTTAACGGCATCTATACCACTGGTGCCAATCTTCAATTAGCGGCTGAACTGCAGAGGCAGTGGTCTGCACCTTCTGCGATGCCCCAACCGCAAAATAACCCGGGCCCAGCGTCATCTGCAAGGCTTCCAGTTGCGCCCCAGCCGCCTCAGCAGGGCCCTAGACAGCCTCCTCGAGCACAAGCTAGTGAGCTACCACCGACGGTCTCAAACCATCTGCGGGAAACACGCCATACTTGGTGGTCGGAGGCCATGTCGAATTCACATCGAGCGCGAGTGATAAACTCTGAACGAGAGCAGCTGAGGCGCAAGCTGATAGCTCAGAACGTAGAGTTCGCTGACAAGGACCTGTTGGATACAGCCTTTGAACACACTTTCCCAGTTACGAGCTCCATGGTCCAGGCCCATCCCTCTCGATACTGGGCTAGTCCTTCCGATAAGACATCTAGGTCGCAAGAAAAACGACAGCAAGCCCCCCAGAAAGCTCATCCCATGGTTTCCCAAGAATCTGGCCGGCTGCAGCTAATAAACACTGCCAGTGTCACAAATGTCCCATCTCACGTTCACCCGGAGCAAACAAATCCACTTAGCCCGAAGCGAAAGGATCAGAGATCGCATGAGAAAGTCCCTCCACCTAAACATCGTCAAAATGAGACATTATGCTGTGAACAAGATTTATCTGATGCTGTCCATGTATCGAGTCCCGTGGAAGACACAATTGTAAGCATCAAGTTGGAGTGATGCCTAACAGTGCGCCACTCCATTTTCTTTTCTTGGCTCTAATCAATTATTCTTTCGGATATTGCGTGTTGGCCGGCTTTCAATGTTCGGTGGATCAGCCCATTGGGGCAAATATGTCTTTGTGGGCGTTGAGGGTGACGTTCGAGCTAATTGCATGCTTGGACCTTACCTTGAAGAGCTTTTGTCAATTTCAGAGATACCAAGTGTTGTTATTGTTACTTTGATACTGTGGATTGGTCGGTCTGTATTGTTATTCTCATTTGTTCTTGACTGCTGAATCCTGCATGCCAGGAGTTACTAGCAGCAGTGGAAATACTTGCATGGATTGAACTTCAGCTTTACAACCATCTCTCTGTACTGTGAGGTATAGTTGAAAATTATTAGAAGCGAAGATGCCACTCGGAGGGGGCGTCTTTCCTATTCGGGCAATCCCTTTTGGGTGTCTGTTTATGCTCGCTCTAGTAGGGAGCTTAAGTAACGAAACATGTAGTTAGAAGTAAAAGAATGGATAATCATCCATGTCACATTTCTCTGGAATAATCAAGGTTGATATAAAGTTGTCAAAACTCTTGGCGTGTCCAGTATGACATTCATGAACGTCATCGCTAAATGAAACCTGATTTTTTTCGTGGGGGACTTGTATATATAGGAAGTCAATTCCGCTTGATACCTTAACTCATCTTCAACCTCTCCCCACCTTCAAAAATAACAATAAATCCTACCAACCTCCAAAATGACGACCTTAATGCGCCTGAAGACTGCATTCCAGGCCCGATCCCCAGTTACAGCTCTCTCCATAGCGCACACTCAAACACCTCGCGCCTCCATATGCCGAGGCTACGCGACCAAATCCTCGAATGACCCCGAGCAAGCCACAACCGATACAGGCTCGCCCAACCGCCCAATCCCTTCCAATAAAGCAAAACCCACCCTCAACGAGGGAGAGAAATCGCCTCTTGTAGACCGAGAGGGGAATCCGAAAAAAGATATTCCCGAGGATGTGAAGAAGCACAATCAGGATATGGAGCAGCGGTATGATAAGCCGTATAACGGTACTGCTGATGATGGCACGGTCAAACCTGCTTTCAAGGGCTAGCTTCCTTGGCTGGTATCCTGCTCTGCTGGTGATCCGTCCCCTATGATATGCTAGGTTGTGAGATGGTGCTGGTCCATCAATTTTCTTTTGGGCTTCTGGGTTCAGGCGCCTGCTTTGGAGCGATGTATGAATGGCTTTTCTTATCACTAGATGTTTTTGCATTAATCATGGGTTTTGTATTTTGGGTTCTCTGGGCTTGTTTATCAATATATACGTGTACTCAGATGGACGAGTGAAATTCCGAAAACACGTCGAGTCGCTTTTAGTACTCCGTAGCAGAACACAGCTCTTCAGATCTTACTCTGCCTACTAATGAAAAGTGGACATTAGCTTACATCTATGTTCATCGGATTCATAGGAAGATCATTGATTGTCGGTCAATCTAGCTATCCATGATGATGTACAAATCAAGGCAGTTCTCAGGCTTGTCCCAAAGCCAATATCCACCAAAGATAAAATCCTAAGCACATTGCAGCGAAGTAATCTGATGACACTTCAAAGACATCTATGTGTCTCGAGAAAGCATAAGTTGAATTTTTTTTTTGTCTTTTTCGATAGATTTTTGTGCATAGACAGGCAGCTTGGCCACGTCCCCACGTCGCCATGTCGCTCTTTCGTGAATATCATCAATGTGTCCGGAAAGCAAATATTACGTTCCAATGTACTCCTCAGCTCACAGGCAGCTTGGCCATATCACCCTTACCGCCCTTGATCCATTCAGGGTCAACCAGACGCTCGCGCTCCGCGTACAATTGTTTGTAAGCACCACGAATGGTTCCATCACTGACATGCGCAACCTGGGAAATCTCCTTGGCAGACTTGCCATGGCCCATAAGGAATGAAGCCATGTAGATGCAAGCCGCAACAATAGACAGGGGAGAACGTCCGGCCAAGTCACCCATGGCGGTAACGCGGTCGGAAAGGGAGACGGAAACACTGGTGACCTGGTAAGGAAGGTCGAGAAGGTTGCAGAAACGATTGCAAAGATCGCTTGGCTTGGTAGAGGTAGTCGCGTTGTAATCGCCAGCAAAATCGTGAGTTTCGCCATTTTCCAAAGCAGCATTATGGCGCTCGACATTCTGGGTGGTGAAAAACTTCTCTAGAGCCTTATAGATGCGACCAATCTCCTTTCGGGTGACCTTGGTCACAGCGAAGATCTCGGTGAAGGTACGAGGAACCTTGCACTGACGACATGCGATGAAGATGCAACCGGCAATAATGACTTCCTGCGACTTGCCCTTGAAGGCCTTGGCGTCGTCGACCATCTTGAAGAGATACTTGGCGGTATCAGCGACAGTCTTCTGGATGTTGAAACCGTCGCACAGAGCACCGATTTCCTTGTAAGCTGCTAGGAGGGCCTTGTTCGCCTTTTCGCCGGACTGCTTGTTTTGCGCGCGGTACAAGTCGCGGGCACGGCCAGATCCTCCACTTGCGATAGAAGTCTCCAGTTGGGCGCCGTTGAGCAGAGGGTTCGAGGCGTCTCCGACACGGGAGGGATCGTCATTATTTTGATCGTCGTTGGAGAAGGTACGCCATTCAGAGTGCAAATCGATCTCACGGTCCGCAAGTACAAGCCCACAGGAACCGCAAACTGTCTCGTGGGAGTCGGGGAATTCCAGGTTCGGGGGATCCTCTTTGCATTCGGGGCAAACGAGATGGGCGGACAGGTTTTTCTTCCAAGGAGCCGCGGCCTCGGGTTTTGTAAGAGAAGTAGCCATATTTTCGGTTTTCAGATAACTTGAGTATCGATTGCGGCAACGTCTTGCAAGTACTTTTGGCGCTATACGGGGTAGATGGTATTTCCGATTATAATAGCGAAGGAGAAGTGGCGAATACAGCTTGGCGGCTGTAGTGAGGAAAACGAAAGCGGGCCAGCTGCAGAGAATCCCTCAGCAAGGGAAAAGGTCGAAAACGCAAAAAACGAGCTCAAGGCCACTGTTTTGCGCAATCATGTTAGCTCAGCCCAAAGGAAATCCATTGTCTCCCGTATCGCTAATTTGTCTGCTCCTTGACCTCCAACAATGTCATGCCAAGATATACTCTAACAAAAGAATTTTCATTACCTTTCACAGGCCAGAGCCCTCGGAAATCTAAGGAGTCACCCCCAGTCGTAGAAAACCCTTCACCAGTCTGCGCTTTCTTGGGTTGAAAGTGGAACAGAAATCTCGCCTCAGCTTGTCCAGCCGTGTTGAACCAGTCAAGGTCTCCGCAAGAAGTCTCTCACGAAAATGGGGACAGGCTGAGGAGGAGAGAAAGAAGATGCCAAGGACTGGGGGAGGATGAGGGAGGGCAACGATGGGATGAGGTGAGGCTTCAATAGGCGGCACCGAGAAAGGGTCCAGATCGAGCTTAGTAAATAGGTCACGTGGTATATGATGTCTCCAAGGTTTGATTGGTTCGAGGAAGTATAGGATACTTTTTATATCAAACAAACCTTCTTTGTTCGCGTTTGCTGCTCTAGATAAACGAAATCTAACGAGGACAATGAGACTTCAACTTTGGATCTTGGCAGATAAGTGAAAGCCAACAATAAAGTCAAGAAATTTAAACATTCCTATACGGGTGGTCTCGGGAATTTGTGTAGACTGATCGGTTCAGAGAAGTGTGGCCTCTCCTCGTCTTGATAACATAATGTCAACGCTTGAATATAGCCTTAGCCAACTTTCACTTTTCATCGATAAATTGAATTACCGTCGACTATTTGTTTTGATACTAAAATGGAGTGTGGAAGCCCTGGAAAGATTCGGGAACAACATGGCCCGGCTGAGTCATCTGCCAAGAAACCTTTCCGAACAGAAGTCGTTTGAACCTCCAACTTCACGGAAAGACGGATCAGACCTATTCTGTTGAGAACCACCCCTCATTCCTCATCTACACCCTCAGCCAAGATGATGTCTCAATCTCTCCGGGCCTCGGTGAGTGCTGCTTGATCTATAGCAATCAATTTCGACCCTCGACTAACGCGAAAAGCAGCGCACCCTGTTCTCCCGTGCCTCTCGGGCACAGGTCTCGGTCGCTCGCCGCACCTTCCTGACCTCCGCTGTCCGCCAGGGTACGTAATTTACCTGGGGACTATCTTCAATATAATCAAGATGTCCCCTGCTATATCGATCGGTCGCATTCTCGCTAACCCGCAACCCGCCGCAGCCGACCCCGTCCAGGACCTGTACCTCCGCGAGCTCAAGGCCTACAAGCCCACCCCCATCAAGGCTGGTGACGCCGACGAGCACGTCCAAAAGTTCTCCGCTCCCGCGCCTCCCAAGTCTCCTGAGGAGGCCAACCTTGCCAGCGAATTGTCCGCCTACGAGAGCCAGGAGGTCGAGGTCGAGGGCCAAGCCGCCGCCGGCGAGGCCGCCCCCGTCGAGGAGAGCTGGTTCGAGGAGGAAGAGGAGGCACCCGCTGCCCACTAAATTCCTCTTTCTATTTCATTTAGCAAGGTCTGGGGAGATGCGGGGGGAAGGCCGGATTTAAATGCCTGCGCCGCAACTAATGTGGCCGCCTCTCGAGGTCCTGAAGCTTGTAAATTAGACCACATTTTTGAACGTTGAGACTTCTATTTCCCTTGTTTTTCACCTATTCTGCTTTTATGCAGGGTAGGATTTAAAAATCCAGGGCTACGCCGGGGGGTTGTTACTAAAGACAAGTATTTGGTGAGTGCAGCAGACTCCCGGCTAGGGTCATCCGCTTCAACTTTTCGGTCAAAGAGCGGGGTTTGTAGTATTCAAATGAAGTACTTCAAGAACCATGATACCACATAGAAGTCATCTAGATGGTTTGACTGTGTGGTGGACAGGTAGCATGGGCAAAATATGCCATGGAACCGCTGGTTTACACAATGTGCATTGTATGGCTTAAGTAGGCTTATTGCCATGCTCATGCAACAATCTTCCGGTACTGAGTACCCGGTCAGGCCTCGGAAGTATATGCGTATGGATATTCATATGAGGGAACTATTGGTACTGACTATTAATTATTGGGATCTACTGCTGCAACCAATACTCCGTAGATCAACATGTAACGAACAGACCAGAAGTTCATGGCATTGCAATTGATTCTGATATATCAAATTCATGGCTGGCAAAGCTAAAGCTACCCCGTAAAGTTTAGAAAATCCCGGAGCAAAGAAAAGGACGATTCAAGGGGGCGCAATGAAAACATTGGTCACCAAGGGTTTGTACAATGTGATTCATGGTCGTACCCGGGAACTCTTGGATACATCCAGAGAGAAAAACATCACCATTTATAGGGCTATCTGTACTCCGTCCCTAACTAGTAGCTAGGGAAAGTGATTTACTTTGGAAGCGTCCTAACTATGGATCCAACCCCTGCAGGGGAGATTATAGGTAGTGGAAATAGCTCCATACTTTGGAAATTGATTTGACTCTAATCGAGGCGTGTGGAAAGCGCTGTTTCTTATAAGAAAACATCGCCAAAAAAAATAGAGAATTAGGGTTGATGATGCCATTGGATCATAGCGAGGCGATATTCTAACATTCCGTGGCCAAGAATGAGATACGAGAGATCTGTGCCGGTGTACAGCTGTCCAGCTGTCAAAGCCCACTCGGTGAATTCTGCCTAGTATTATGTTCCGGAGAGGATGCGATTGGTCCTATCGCCTGTAAAGACCTTGCGATTGGGGCTGAACAGAGAGAGCCCAATGGGCTTTCCGAATCAGACTTGCTGCATGGCGCAGAGAACATGGACTCGAGCTGATACCGTGAGACAGAGCAGTATTACGCGATCATGATGTCTACAGAGAGAAGAAGAGGAAGAAGTGGAGTCAAATAGGGATGTCTCAGCTGAAAGGAAGCATCTGATTTTAATAATAAAATGAAGTATGATTACTCGTATGGAATAGGTTAGAATAATAAGTTAAAAATGTCTCGAGTTAATTAACCAAGGTAACTAAATAGTACTTTGGAGACTTTGCAGACTTGGGGGACTATTTGGATTTCTCCAACTTCTTCCTTCTTCTTCTCTTCTTCTTCTTCTCTCCCTCACTTCCTCTTGACATTATTCCCCCCCACACACGCACCCTTCTGCCTTTTGCCCGGACCGCCCTTGGGGGAGATATTTCCCGCCGATCACTTGCTGAATCAGAGTGGCGCCCTTGTAAGCGGCTGCATAGACGATCTATCCACCCCGAAACTCCGTAATTCCAGGGCTGGATATTATTGTTTTGTCCCTCTCTACCTCTTTCTGGCTCGCTGATTCCCTCCTAAAGTCGGCATTTCAGCATTGCGATTGTGCCTCATTTGCCCTTCCCAGATGCCGCGCGCCTGACCACTTTGAACCGGAACCTCCTGGTGCACAGAGGAGCTGGTCTCTTCTACGCTCGGAATCTTGGGATTTAAGGGGAAATGACCAATAATTCCTATCAATAACCAATCTGCCCTCCCTTTATCCTCTAGACAATGTCTTCGCCTTCACTGGAGACGAATGATGACCAGAAGCCCCAGCTCTCTCGTGCCGCCAGCTATACCGATCTTCCCAGTCAAACCGCAACGGAATCCAGTTTAAGACGTACTTTCTCCGATTATGCTGTGCCGACTTTGGCAGAATCACCCACAAAGGAAACCGTGGCTGCAGGGAAAGACATTCTTCGCCGCACCTCTCTTCGCTCCAAGGACAGGTCGAAGCCAACCACTATCTCACGTTTCACATTATCGTCGGAGGATTTGAAGGATGCCGATTTGAAGGATGCTGATTCACATGTGCCGGAAACCAGGGCACCAGAGCCCGCTGCGAGGCCATCCAAGAGCCGGTCAATGTCTGGAAGGATCGTCAGCCTTGCGAGGAAACCATGGGGCTCTTCCTCCCGATCTCCGTCACCGTCAGCGAAAAGGTCCAAACAGCAGGATTCTCAGTCCCCAACTAGTTTCAGCGGTCGAAAAACAGAAGATGATCAGACACAACCTTCCCGCAAGCGAACGATCCTCTATAAACGCCCACGCCGGCCAATGCTAGCTGTTATAGCCAAGGGCCCCGAAGACAGTCCCGGCTCTCCAAACAGTCCATCTGGCAATTCGCTACGGCACCGGTCCTCATTCGAAAAATTCACAGCATCACTTTCTGTTTCGACCCCGCTCTTACCACCTATGCCCAAGGGAGCTGCGGAAACTGCTGCGGCGTATGCGAATTCCGGCACCGAATCTGCACGGAAAAAGGACGAGCTTTGGGGCGTCTTTCGTGGCTTGGAGGCGGATTTCCAAAAGTATGCGCAATTACATTAACCCTTCATATTACAATTGCTGACCAGATAATAGGTTCCAAGCCAAATCTAGCTCGCTGAAAGCTAACGTCATCCGTACCTCGCTCCTCCCTTTTCTCAGCCGCCATCACCTCCATGGCTCATGCAAGAACCTCAGACCGGAAGACCTGGATCGCCGAGTCAATATTCTTAATAAATGGTGGATTGGAATGTTGGAGATGCTCAATGGCAAGCATAACCAGTCGATATCGGGAACCGACAGACCGGTGTTCCTGGAAGCTATCGTGGGAGTCATGGCTCGACCGGAATGGCGCATACCCTTCCCCATGGCCCAGAATGGAGATGGGCCTACGGAATCATTGAAATATGCGTCAACTTCAGTGTCGGAAACATCGGATGGGTCAGGCTCCTCGGGTTCGGATTTCCTGGTTGAATCGATTCATCACAACATCCGAAACATCTTCATTCAAAACCTCCTTTCTCAAATGGGATTCGTGGTCGAACGAATGTCTATGAGACATGCGCCAGCTAGCCTGGTTGCTTTTTGTGGCAAGGTTTGCGCATATGCCTTTTTCTTCTGTCCCGGGGTGCCCGAGATCCTGGTCCGCCTGTGGAGCACGCCTCCTAATATGTTCCGACGCATCTTGTCAGAATCAGCCGGGTCGCGCACTGGAAATATGCGTGCATACACGCAAGAACTCGCTCTGTGCTTTCCGCCGGCTCTCCGTCCCCTAGCGTTTCACTCACAATCCCCTCTGTTGCGATATCTACGCCAGAAACCCGAACTACCCTTGAATACCACTCATATTAACTGGAACCGCCCGTGGATTGCACGATGGGCTGGGCGTGACACGGACCTCTTTTTTGTCTTCGTCAAATACATTCATATTCTGTACGCTGAGTATTTGCCTCCGGGGACTGAAAAGGCAAAACGGATATTGGCACCTGGGCTGCTGATAGTTCACGCGCAACTTCTGCTCGTTCTGGAGGACACGATCTACAAACAATCGGCACAACAGGGGTCCGAAAATCCCCACACAGCTGCTGCAATCACCTTTGATGATTTTATCGAGTCGCCGGATGCTTCTGCCTCCACTCAGCATCTTCGAAGCGGCAGCAACACTCATCGGTTGATGGCAGAGAATCGTTTGATTATCCTTCTCCGAGACTTACTGTCTGCATCGTCGGTGGAACCAAATCGAGCTCGATTACTATTTGCCGAATCATTTTGTGGCATAATCAAAGCCGCAGCGCAGAAAACGTCTCTCTTTGATCATAATGCATGCTTTTTGTTGTGTGACTTCCTCGAGGAGGTCATTCCAATCATCACACGTTACGCCCAGTCGATTGAAACTGAATTGTTTGATTGGGGCTTTTGGCTCGATGTTTGTCGTCAAATGATGCAGAGCCACAATTCGCTCACGGAGGTACGGGTATTTTCTTTCCTCTTCTGCATCTGGGGTACCTGGACTGCGACAGAAGAAAGAAAAGCATCTATCTGTCTAGACTTCTTGTTGCATGAGCCGGTATTCTATCACTACTTCAATCACTGGAGTCCGATGGTGCGAGCCTATTTTCATCGTTTGTTGTGTTGGAGGGTCGGTCGGTTCCATACTGATCCCTCATCACTTGACTCCAATGTCTATGAGATTCTTTCAGATCGACTCCTACGAGTCTGGGAGTATTACATCGGGTTCCAATCTAAGGCTGAACAAGGCATGGCAGCTCCTTTATCCTCTGCTCCCTGTACACCCGCTCCAGGACGAAGAATCATCATTATCCGATGCGAGAACCAATTGTCTCCTGTCAATCTTTTCGTCAGCTTTGACCGAGTCGTTCCACCCGTTCCCTCGAATCAACTGACGTCACACAATAGAACCGGATCGTCCGACTCCAGTGGTTCAGATGGTCAACCAGCTAAACGACGGTGGGGGATACTCAAGGCTATGTTTGGCAGCTCTTCCAACCCACGTTCCGGCGATGGAGTCAGCAGCAGCAGTTCTGATGACTCCGAGAATCCCGTACCAGATCCACCAATGACTGTGGATAGCAAATGTATGGATGAACACGAACAAACTGCGACCCACAGTATGGACGACGAGATCATCCGCCCCAAAGCTCTCCACCAGCCATTCTTTTTCAAATTCTCTCTGGAATGGATGGATCGCCCGCAATGGCCCACGAAAAACAAACGTCTTTTCACCCCATGTCTCCCTGTCGCATCCCAATTGCACGTCGAGCATCGACGTTCTCCCGAGAAGTCGGAGTATGATACAGCATCAGAGAACCCGGGCCAGTCCGACCTCGAGAACGATGAACCAGAACCAGACATCATCACCACCGACCAAGATACTCCCACGCAGCCTACCTCAGATACCCGGCCGCGAACACCTACAACCAAGAACTCCCCTCTACCTGAACTTCCTTCCCAGCCTTCTTACGATCATCTTGTGTCCAGCAAATATGCAGGCCGTGCCCTGGCGGAATGGGCACACATTGTCTCCGAATGTGATAGCTTTTTCGCCCGTCGTCGTGACGAGGGCGTCCCTACTGATCAAATGGTGGAAACCCCAACCCTAGGGGTTGATAACTTCCGCAAATAACCAAAATCCAACATGAGAAAGGAGCCCTTCTCATCAACACGGATCAATTATAGACTCCCCGTGACATGTTCAAGCAGATGTCTGTTTTGAGATGTTTCGGTTCATTCCTCTTTTTTGTTTCTTCTAATTTCACAACACTGTGTGCATGGCGGATCTGGAGCATAGGGAATCGGCGTTTACTTAGCCTGATTTTGTTCTTCCAAGGATTTCTCATTTCGTGTACTAGGAGCGAGACACGCAATAATCATAGTAAAACATCATTCGACTTGATCGTCCAAAGAAACTGTAGTAGAGCATAGTCAACTATATATAACATTTCTTTATGTAACAAGTGATCTCTCTCTCATTCTAAATCTAACTCTGCTGCTCTGCCTCCCCCTTCTCCTGAGCAAGTTGCTTGTTCAGTAAATGCAGCAAAACTCCCTGCACATCCTCCCTATGCATAAAGACTTCAACAAGCCTCACCCCAGATCCATTCTGAATCTGCTCGCTAGCCAACACATCCTTCAACTCGCCACAGGTCCTCGCCGTAAAACTATTATTCGCCGCATGCTCTTGATCAGCTCCGAAATAGTTCAGCGCCTGCGCGTGTCTCCAGAAAGGCACATCATTGTACACCTGCTTGCGTCCGTGGATCACCCGCTCAATGGTATAGCCTTCGTTATTGATGATGAAAATAATAATGTTCAACTTCTCACGGATCATCACACTGATCTCCTGCGCTGTCATCTGCAGACTTCCATCGCCGATGAACAAAATAGTCTGACTCTTGCTTTCTGTGACCTTGTTGTGCTCACGCTGCGCTAGCGCTGTGCCTAGTGTTGCCGGGAGCATGAATCCAATCGAGAGCCAAGTGACCGCGCCGAAGATGCGGCATTTCGGAGGCAGTTTGAAGTTCCGGCCGCCATGCGAGGCGGTGCCCGTCTCGGTGAGGATTATGTCGCCTTCGCGCAAGAGCGGGTTTACCAGGCGGTAGAAGTTGTCTTGCGCGAGGGGGTCTGTGTTTTTGATGTTGGCCAATGTGATTTCTTGTTTCGGGGGTCCGGTGGCCTTGACTAGGCGGGTGGAGTCGAGGCTTTGGAGTATGTTTGATAGAATGTTGCGGGCGGACAGGTCGCGATAAGTATCATTGTCGATTTGAACGGTACTGCCTGAAAAGGCGATTGACACTGCGGGCTTGGGGATTGTCGTAAAGTAATAGGTGTTGGAGTCGCTATTGTGCAGTCCGAATGCCAGAATCAAATCTGCCTCGTCGAAGTACTCCTGCGCTGACTTGTCGCCAAAGGCTCCTGCGTACAATCCGTACACATTTGGCAGCTGCTCGTTGACTAGGCCTTTGCCGTACACGGTTGTCCATGTGGGCCAGTTGGTTGCTTTGATCAGAGCATCGATCTGCTCGACGATACCAAGACCTGTGCTTTCTCCGTCCACGAAGATGAGCGGACGCTTGGCACTGTACACTTTCTCCAAGATGCGAGCCAGCACTTCGGGCTCTTGTGTAGAGCTTGGTGGTTGAGGAATGCTGATCTTTGTTTCCAAATTTTTAGCCGACACCAGCACGTCGGGCATATCATCGGGCAATTCAAGGTAGACCGGACGGCTGTGGACCAACGCCTGGCGCAGGACATAGTCGATCCGTTCCGGCGCTGTGGCAGCGTCTTCCAGCCTCACTTGAGCTGCAGTGACATGCTTCGACATGTTCGCAAAGCGACGGTAGTCGCCATCTGAGAAAGTGTGGTGCATAAACGTGCGCGCGCTCTGAAGTGGGCGCGGTGGAGTTCCGACAATGTGTAACACAGGTGTATTCTCGGCATAGGCGCCTGCAATGCCGTTGATAGCGGACAGCTCGCCAACGCCATATGTAGTGATCAGTGCAGACAGGCCTTTGATGCGACCATATCCGTCCGCTGCATAGGCGGCATTGAGTTCATTGCAGTTGCCCACCCAGTGGAGACCGGCGGGAGTGACGAAATCTAATAGACGAAGGTTGTAGTCACCAGGGACGCCGAACATGGAGTCGACGCCCAGCTGGCGCAACCGGGTAAACAGGTACTCTGCGAGTTTTATATCTTGAGTCATAATGAATGTGATATTGAAGTTAAGAGAGGGACGCAAAACGAGTATTTATAGATGGATGGAATGGATCCCCGCATCTTATCGGCGACACGCCGATTCTCCGACTCTCCGATCTCGCCATTGTTAGCCGACTTCACCCTTTTGTCTCCACTGGCGGGACAAACTCCGCGAGACCAGCCATGTCACGCCTGGCTGCTTGTGAAGCCTGCAGAAAGGCTAAACTGGCATGCGACCATCAGCTGCCCATTTGCACGCGTTGTAGTGCTAGCAAGGGGATTTGCATCTATAGGACTACGCCCTTCAAGCGGAGAAGAGTCGAGAAGCAAAGGTCAGTTTCATACTTGCCTGGATTGTATCCGAATTGGCTAATAATATATTTGCAGCGTGAATCCACCAGATAAATCGCCATTATTTAATCCAAGGCGTAATCCATACCCAAACCCTGGGTATCTAGGATCATCTAGCCATGCAGCTATATTCAAGCACATCACTCCGGACGGAGACCATGGCCCCGGTAGTCATCAAGTCGCACCAGAGGATCTGCACTCGGATTTCTTTGGGGACAACCATCTTGTCCTACAGGGTGCAGATATCCTCAAACATCTCTTGACAACATATAAGTTGTCCGCCATGAAAGACCTCGTCATGTTCTGGCTAGCTAAAGGAGCCAATCTGGCCCTGGCAGAGCCCTTTGTTGACCAATGTGCCCAGAGCGTGAGCCAATTGTTCACATATCATGACGACAACTGGCATCTAGTCTATGCAAGACGTCTCGTGCAGAACTCGGCCCTACCGCTACACTTCAATGATACCTCTGACCTGGCTAGTTTCTCGGCTCAATTTTTGGATCACAATTCTCGCTGGGAAACGTTGGGGATATTCTTTGCCGCTGTTAGTCGTGCGACAGTTGACATCGCGTTCTTTCCGTCTCTATATACTACTGAGCAAGAGCAGTACACACTCCGAAGATTGTGTACTAAACTTTGTGATTTTGCATTGGAGATATCTCTCTCTTTAGATTGCTTGAATGATCTACAATTGATCATGCAATACGAGAACTTTATCGTCCATTCCTACGTGGATGGAGATCAGAGTAGGTTGCAAGCCGCAATTGTTACCTCCACTTAGCCATATGTTAATTTCTCAAAGGCTACCATTCCTGGCGCAAACTGGGCGATGCAATATCTTCCACATTTGCCCTTGGCTACCACGAGAACATCGAAATTAAAGCAGGAATCCCGCCATTCCTCAAAGAATTGCGCAAAACAGCCTTCGCGCGTATATACTCCGCAGACAAGAATATAGCAATATTCCTCGGCCGCCCACCACGAATGAACAAACGCTTCTGTCACTTTCAAATCCCATCCTGCAAGAATGCAAAAGAAGGCTCAGCCGACTGGACCCCAGACGCGGAACCCGGGTACCGGGCTGACACGCGGTGGTCTGCACTGTGCGCATCACTAAAGGAGGAGATATGGGAGCTTCTTCAAGACAAGCATGATCCATCATGTGCGCAGCGAGCAAGGTATTCAAAAGCAACGCAATGCCACACCGAATATCTCAAAGTAAACAATAGCTAATCAAGAAATGGCACAGTGATATACAGTGCCAAGCAGAGACGCAGTGGCAACAACTGCCATCCCACTTCCGACTCGAGAGCAGCCTAAAGAATTGTACACAAGGATCCTTCGAGCGAGACTTCGTCGCCGGTGTACGACTGCACCACTTGCATGTGCTATTCTTGCTTCGTCTTTTGCTTCTTAAATCACCGACTGAGCCCGATCTACCGATCATCGAGACGGCGGGTCAGATGCTCACGCTCGTTGTGGAGATTATTCTGCTGCGGGATCAGCTCACTAATTCTGGGACGGGTCTTATTTGGAAGGTATGTATGGAATTGACTTGATGTTCAAATTAACATACTCTGTCTACAAACCCCCCAACTTGCAAGCAGTAAACTGAAATTCATACTAACTAGGTCGCATACTACGGTCTCCCCGCTGCGGGGATAATGCTTCTGGCCATGTTGAAACAGCATATGCCACGAGCGCACCGTACACGGTCGTTACAAGATCTCAGTGTGTTTGTGGCGGAGGTTCAGATCGGCACGATTGTAAAAGCAGGGGACCCAAATTACCCATTGCTTTCTAAGGCTACGCGGACTATACAGCGTTTTTTGGACTCAACACATTCGGACCCAGCGCAGCCTTTGCCTGAAATGACCGAGGTTGAGGGGAATGATGAGTGGGCGGCGTTATTGAGTCAGGATTTGTGGGATTTTGAGGCTGGGTTTTGGCAGAGTTTGGCGGATCATCCGTCTTTGATGGCGATTGAGCCTTCTTTGCCGTCTGTCTAGTTTATGATACCTATGAGTAAAATATGAGTTGGGCTGGAAGAAGGCTCTTCATCTCTTCATTTGATGTCATATACTCATACTGACTTTTGACTTAGTTTTGACTGTCTTTGTCTAATAACTAGCATTGACTTACATGGTAGTAGGTCATAGCCAACATCCACATTGTTATAAGAGTGCTCTTTCCCGCTCCAGTCCACCCGGTCAGTAGGACCCTTTCCACATACAATAACCATGGAAAATCATATAAGAAGACTCTGAAAATGTGACTCTTACATAATGAAATATTTCCATTTGGAAAATGAAGTACTACCCTAAGGGTGGAGCACTTGGAGCGAGCAAGCAAACCATGTGGACTGGCAGGGTTGGAACCCTTTAGAAGCTAGATGATATATCCCAATATGAACGCCGGTGCCTGGGGCAAGGAGAAGCTAGATACATTCAAGAAAAGATGAGGATGAGGCGACCAATGGAACCAACAGAAGGACAATCTGCTAAGGCCCGTATGAGCTCAAGACATGCGTGGTATATGATGGGCGTAAAAAGAAGTTCCCAAAATGCAGGTATAGAGGTATTCCGACAACCAAGTGACAGGTGTCGGGCTGTACAGTGCTCGTTTAGAACATGATAATAGAATCAATCCGACAAGAGCGGATGAAGTATGGCGGAGAAGAACGACAAATAGGAAAAGGGTAGATAGATAGAATACATTAATGGAGCAGCTTGTCGCTGGCGTGGTGGATGGTGTTAGCGACCCGGTCGATCCAATATTGGGTCAATGTCCAATTCCCCGTGTTGATGCTGTCGCGGATAGCAGGGAAGATCGAGGGATCGTAGCCGGACCACAGCTCTGGCCCAAAGATAACGTGTCGGAATTGTGTGCGGTTGGGGATCTGTACAAATCATCAGTTAGGGCCGAGGAATGAATCAAGCAGAACGTCAACTTACACCTCCGCCTTCTTCCAAGTCAAGTAGATTGGTATCAAAAGCAGCCATTCGAGCATTATGGTTCACCCGCTGGACTGCCATAACATTGCTTTCATAACCACCCATGCCCCATACAGTATCGTGCCAGATTTTGTTCCAGGACTGGAATGTAACAGCATTGGCTCTCATCTCGGTCGCAGCCCTGAACATGGGCTGCATGTCTACCTCGGCGTTCTTTGATTTGGCAAATTTGTCCAAGTCTTTGACCCATCCGACAATGGAGTCGCCGTAGACTTCTAGGTCAAATGGCAGCATGGGATTCTCCGAAAGGTCTAGAAGGAGAAGCCCCCAGAATTGAGCCAGGATTTTGTGGTATTGGAAATCGGGGTCTGCGTTATTAACCATCCAGTCATATGTTTCGTAGCAGCTGTGGTATGGATAGGGCTCGCCCTCAAATCCGAAGTCAATGCTCGAAGTGCCAGCGATATCCTGGAACGCAACATAATCACTTCCAGCGCCAAGTGGAGTAATCTTTGAGCCCTTTTTATCCCAAATGTCTTTCAGTGTTGCGTTCGCATAGGGGTCAGAGATACGACCCAGAACCTGTAGCACGGTGCGCTCAAAAACAGGCGACGCAGACACACGGAAATCGGGGCCCGCAACGCCCACGTCGACATTCAGGTAGGCAAAGGCATTTGCACGGAGATCATCGATCTCCTTCTCGACATGTTCGGTTGAGCCGATCAAATTGTACTCCTCTCCGTCCCAACTGACAAATTCAATGGTGCGAAGTGGTCGCCATCCGTAGGTGAGCAACTCGCCGAAGGCTCGTACAACCTCTAGGAAAGTAGCAGTGCCACTTCCAGGGTCAACACTTCCCATGCACCACGAATCTCGGTGGTTGCCAACAATGATCTTCTTGTCACGCTCGTCCATTCCGGTTATTATGCCGTGGATGTTGTAGATAGGTTGCCGCTCTATTTCATCTTGCAGGTTCATCAGATGAACGATCGGGGAGTCCTGGTCACCTGTCCACCACTCTGGTACGTCAGGAACACCGCCCACCCATTCCTTTGGTACTTTGGAGCCATGGCCTTTGAGGCCCTGCAAAAGTATCTGTGCATCGCGCCAAGCAAGTGGGAGACTGGGAATCTTGGGTAGACCGGGGCTGTCCTCGGGGGACAGACGATGGTTTTCTCCCGGCGTAGATGCCCATCCAGGGCTGAGAACATCGCCAATTACCTGCGACATCATACTGACACCGCCCCTTTGCACGCCATCGCTTGGCATGTATCGCCCTTCGGGGAAGGCCGGGCCTTTGACAAATCCGTCCTGAGCGGGATCGGAGTAGATGATACAGCCGGCAGCCCCGGCTAATTCAGCAGCCTTGATTTTCAATGCGCGATCTGATTCAGTACCATAGTATCGGACCAAGGCAATTGAGCCATCGAGTGAAATTCCTTTATTTGCGAGCAGCTCGAAATCTTCCCGGGATCCGAAGTTAGCATACACCAGATGCCCAGTGACATTGCCGGATTTCGAATGGCCATGGAAGATCAGGTCCTTGGCGTTGTCCTCTTCGAGTTTCGCCTCCCAAGCTAGACTAGGTGGATCGATGATGGCGACTCTCCTCCCATCCTTGCGTGGGTAGTTGAGGTAGACCTGGAATTCCTCCCGCGACACTTCATCAAACCCTGCATTCTGGAACTCTTGTTCAATCAATTTTGATAGCGCAAAGCTGCCTTCCGTGCCAGCTACGTGGGTGTAGTTTGTGACTCGTCGCAAATTATCGGCGATATTGGTCTCGTTGATGTGGCCTTGAATGAAGTTCTCGACGGAGGCGGCGCTATAGGACTGACCCATGGCCATGCGACTGTTGATATTGAAGACATCTGCGATGAAGAACACATACACTAAGGTGACCACCAGTAAAAGAGCGAATACTCGGAGAAGCATGATGCACCCCTGATCTTTTAAGCGTGCCCTAGCGTCACTAAGGTTGATCGTGAAGCGGAAAGTAGGCATATATCGTTGGAAGGGTCGTTGTATAGCGGACAGGGTACGACCCAGACTCGATAGCTGCTTGGAAAAACGATGTCGTAGAGGGGTGTGTCTGCCGGTTAAGGAGGCCGATGCCGAATCATCCACGTCCATCTGGTCTAGCTCCCGCCGTAGTTCTTCCACCGACTCTCGGTCTGAGTGTGAGGCCAATGATTCCAGGTCATCCAGGCTAGAGCGCGCCGATTCGACGGTTGGTGGGTGGTAGCCGCGGGTTGCGGCATGATCGCGACCGAGTAGCCCCTGTCGTTCAACATCTGTTCCATCGCCAAGGTCGGATCGAGATGAGGAGGGTTGACCGGTAGCTTCGGCGTAAGAAGGGATGGGGACGGCCTGATAGTCAAACTTCTCGTCGCCCATTGTGGGAGATACGGGGCTCCGGAGAGCTGTAACTAGGGTGTAACGCGGGTGCGGAGATCTGGAGGATCATGATCTGTAGGAAAAAGGAAAATGAGCGACGTCCGACATCCTATGCCGATGAATGAGTATGTCCAGAATTCGATGGAGTTGTATAGGAGAGAGACAGGAGATAGGCAAACGCCCCCGGAGTGAGAGTGACCCACGCTTGGCAACTCGGTACTGCATTACGCATCATTTAGAGATTGGGCATTCTTTAATGCTATGACAACATATTAGTAGATTAGAATATTTTTTATTAGTCCAAACCGGTTTGGGAGTCATTTCTTTTTTATATATGTATCAGACCTCGGACGTGCAGTGTCGTGCAGATGTTCTCCATTATGCTACGGAGTACATACCCCATCCACGCCAGAAGATGAAGATCCGAGGGCAGTATCAGAATAATACAACACAGCAAAGGCAGACTGAACTCCGTACAGCATAGTAGACGGTATAAGTGACCACCTGAGAAGAGTCTCAAAGACTTCATTATAGAGAAGCAAGTTTCGGGCTAATTAGCTAAAACATCCGAAGTGATGCCACTGAACCATCTTGAGGTACGACCGGGAGGTCCATTGCTCCACTAAGCAATGATTCGAGGATGAGAAGGAACCTTCCACTATTCAAGATATTAAAAGATCTCAAAGAGGGAAAGCTGAGCCTGGAAGATGACCGGAGTGGAGACAAGAGAGATCGATAAGATGGCAGACTCAGTTTTACACCGTAGCTTGGATGTTGAGGGTTTTAATTTTCAAAGCCACGTAGCGGATTCTAACACAGAGATGTAACTATGTAACTGTTTATTACCTAACTATGTGCTAGCTAGTTACTTACTGTCAAAGTTGATGTTGAAGTGGTAAGTTAGCGGGGAGTGTTGTATACACTGCATCACGGGGTCCACGAGTCACGAGTATAGCTTCACGTCCAAATCTCCCCGTATAACCACTTCTTATATATCTCCTGGGGAATTATCCGGCCCAAAGGAACTGCAAGAGAAGTAGCAAAAGAGGGCAGATCTCCCCACTCGAAGAAAAAAAGAAAACGCGAAAAAAAAAGAAAAATAATAAGTGGTGACAGATCGTACACGGTAGAACCGAGTACACAGACTCCTTTTCATTCTTATATCAGTCGCCTTCTCTTCAGACTTCTCCCTCTTCTCTTGATCTTAACCTCAACCTCCTTCATATACTTCATCTCAGTCATCTTCCTTCACCCTCACCTTCTATTCCTCTTATAACACAAAGTTACCCCTCTATACCCCCCACCATGGCTACTCGTCCCCAAAACATCGGCATCAAGGCCATTGAGGTCTATTTCCCTACTCAGGTAAGGGTTCCACGTCTATCGTATCCCCTGGGATCGATGCTGATTTGTCAATTGTAGTGTGTCGACCAGGTCGAGCTCGAGAAGTACGATGGTGTCTCCGCCGGGAAATATACCATCGGTCTCGGACAGACCAAGATGAGCTTCTGTGATGACCGCGAGGGTATGTGCACGGGCATATTCCAAAGGGGATCAAGACCAATCAGCTAACCTTTCTCGGCAGACATCTACTCCATGACCCTCACCGTTCTCTCCTCCCTCATGAAAAAATACAACGTCGACCCCAAGTCCGTTGG